GGCCGGCCGGGCCGCCGGCTCCAAAGTGGCGGCGTCGAGGACAGCAGCAGAGCGTTCCCTGCGCATGTGCAGGGGACGTTCTGTAAGTTTCGGGGGGATTTAAGTATCCCCCCGATATTTTTGTCCAGTTTTTAGATTTTTGTGCACACGTGGGGACTGGCCCACGTGTGCACAAACCTCCCCCGGCCCCCCAAGTGCCCCCGAAGTGCGGATATAGCGATCCGCACGGAGGGGGCAACTTGGCTATTAGATATAGTGATGATTAGTTGCTAAACACTCAAGAGAAAGATACAGTTTTAATATGCTCCCTAAAGGATAGGAGGCATAACTCCAAATGGGTATCAGGGGAAGACACTGCTGACTTGGGGTGCTGTTACAGAAAATTCCCTACCCCTGATAGCCTATCCCTAACCCTACCCCTGATAGCCTACCCACCCAGCCCCTTAAGACAGGGACTCCTGAAACAGGACCTAAGATGATGACCTCAGTGAATGGGCAGGAGGAGGTGGTCCTTCTGATGTCCTGATACCAGGCTCTTTAGGTTTTTATAGGTCCAAACCAAATTGCACTTGTGCATTGGTGGGCTGCAGGTAGCTACTCTTCATTTTTCAGGAGTGATTTCTCTTGAAATTCCACATGCCCTTGCTCTGTTAAGAGGCCAATAGATGCAGGTTGCATGGAATCAGACTGGGACAGATCTATTTGGCTGTCATTAAGCTGGAGTGGATGACTTAGGACCAAACTTCCTAGGGCAGGTCGAGTCAGCGAAAAGGGATGAAAAGCCCTTTCCTGCACCCCTTTCCACTGGCACAAGCAGGGTAGGAGGAAAACTGAAAGCTCCTTCTCCCCTCTTGCAGCGCTCCCTCACAGTGCTGAGCAAAGTAGTGCTTTTTTAAGGTGAGTCCCTCCCATGTATGTTTCTGACTGTGAGTCTAGTAGTGCATCCATGATGCAGCATGTGTTAGGTGTATTATGTAGTTATGCCCTTAATACCTGCCAGCAGACTGCAGTTACAGCCCTAGTCTTGATTTCTTTAGGCCAGGAGTGGCCAACTGGTGTCACCTGACTGAACAAAGCCTGAGAAGCAATTTGATGCTCTCTCCCCAGGATGCTCAATGTTAATCAAGCTGTGGTAAAAACTTGTTTTCAGAAGTTGGAAAAAACAGATAGGATGTTGAATTAGAAAGTTCACCTCCCCTAAAACGACAGCTGCCAGGTCATACGTGCTCCATAACAATGCACCTTTTCTGACTAAGTGGTACCAACTTTACTATAGAACCTGAATACCTGTGCAAAGGTTAGGTTGTATGGCCAAATATATTTCTGGCTTTTGGCTTCCAGTTGACTGTCTGAAAACAGAGAGGTTCTTAAGAATACTGAAGTTGGCCTCCTCCGAAAGTCAGACCTAATTTAAACAAGACACTGGCTGAGAAAAATTCACTTCCCTGTAGGGGGTTGTATATGCACAGAATCTCATTTAAACTAAATTGCCACCCATGCAAAGCCACTTTAGGTAACATGCCAGAGTAATGTCCGTAAGGTTGTGTATATCTCTAGTATTCATGATACAAAGAGCTGTGTAACTGTAAGATGTGAGTTGTGGGTTCTCCTCAGTTACCATGCATGTGGTGCCCAATTCAGATGGGGAATGGGGTGCACATGGAGAAGGGCTTTAGCCTCCCCCCATGCCATTGCCCCAACAAACAACTATCCTGGGGGAGTTTTTTGGCTCAAAAAAACAAATAGTACTGCCATAGCATTTCAGGTCATGAAAATGGCATAGGGGAAAGCTCAAGTCCCTTCCCCATGCACACCAGAGTCTCAGTTCGAAGTGGGCACTGTGCTTGTGGGAACTGAGGACAACCCACAACTTATCTCTGATGTTACATGGGGTGGGAAGAATCGCCCTGGGGATTGGGGGAGGTTTTTTTTGCGCACGCCTCCTACTTTCTCATTGGACTTTGAGCTGGGAGAAGGAGAGACCCTAGGGGAATTAGCAGCTCCCTACCCCCTACAAATGTATAGGGTTGGTCTCAGCTTCACTGCTGGGTTCGATTATTTTGCTGCCATTTTAGTTTTATTGATTTAGTTTGGGGTGGTCGACACTTCATTGGATTCCTCATCTTTTATTACTGCTACAAACCAGCTCGGAACATATTTTAAACAAGTTGCGTGTGGGTGGGAGGTTCTCTCAGTCTTCCAGCACAGCTGTGCCAAAGTCCATGGAGGCCAGAGGGGAAAAGGGGGACAGTAAGTCAGTGTTCCCTCTAAACTGAGTTAGTGCGAGCTAGGCCACGGTTTTCTAGCCTCTGGCTCATACATTTTTGTCTTAGCTCAGGAAGGATGGCTCCAGAGCAAACTAATTTATGCAGAAGCCAAATTGCTCATGGACAACTTTAATGCCAGTGGCTCACAAAGTTGAATTTTTGCTCACAAGCTTGGAGCATTGGTGGGGACAGCATTTATATCAGCTACTTTGCATGGGTAGCAGACCTGTTTAAATGAGATACTGTGCAAATACAAAGTCCTACAGATGAGAGCTTTTCCCCCACTGGAATCACATTTAAATCAAGCCTCGCCTGATACAAACATGAAACTTAAGCGACAAAGCTTCTCCTGGGCTGTACTACTTCCAGCTGAGGGTGGAAATCACAGATATGCACTGTTCTGTGATTCTGTGAAATCAAGCTTTTAAGATGTTTCTTCTTCAAAATACTATAGAGCACTACATTTTTACATTATACATTTTTATATATTCACAGCTGGTATTTTAAACAGTTTCTGCCATCCAGCTCCTGCCTCTCTTTCTCATGTCATACTGCGAAGCATGAAGCTCTGGACTGCAATGAAATGCACAGATGGACACCAGTGTTCTCTTCACTTAAGCATTAAGGGAACACTGCATCTTCATGGTTAGTAAGAAGATTGACTGGGAAGGGAAGGAGATGTGGCTCAGTGTAAGATGATCTGCTTTGCAGGCTTTGGGGTGAATTCCTGACATCTCCTGTTGAAACGATCAGGAAGTAGTTCATGCGAATGACCTTAAACTGAGGTTCTGTACAGCCACTGACAGTCTGAGTAGATTACACTTGATAGACCAATGGTTGGCCACTGTGTGAGATGGGAAGCTGGATTTGATGGACTACTGCTCTGATACAGTAGGGTCCTTTATTTATTTATCAAATTTATATTCTGCTCCCTTTCCCCAGAATGGGACTTGGGGTGGCTAACAGCGTATAAAATGCACCCAATTAAAAACAATACAAAGATCTTCTTATGTTCTTATGTCTTAATGGTCTGGCTCAGTACAAGACAGCTTCATGACTTCAAGTCTGGGTCATGGCAAAGGCCGCTGTTGCCATTATTTTGGGGGAGGGACTTGGGATTCAATACCTGCATGAAAAGGAACAATGCAGGGGGAGAAAATCTCCTGATGAATTTCGCTTGATTGGGAAAGAGACTGGGAAGTCCCCTTTGCAACCATGACATGATTTTGTGTATGTAGATTCAGCTACTGAATAGCAAATTGCTGAGTCAGTTATGATAAAATCATCTGGCGAGCATATTGTGGCATAGCATATGTATCCTTATACATACAAAATTTCAATTAAACTTTACTTGTCTCCTGATTTGGTGCACCACAACACAAAAGGAATTATTATGGTACTTGTAATCCACTGAATTTTCTCAGAAAGACGGCACAGAAAGGGAGCCTAGAATATGTGCCTCTTATCTCCATGGTTCATTCAGAATGATCCTTACTTCTTACTAGAATAGAATCATAGAATCACAGAGTTGGAAGGGTCCATAGATGCCATCTAGTCCAACCACCTGCTCAGTGCAGGATCAGACTAGAGCATCCCTGACAAGTGTTTATCCAACTACTGCTTAAAGACTGCCAGTGAGGGGGAAAGGCCACAAGCTGTCAGATACGGTTACTGTGTTTTCCCATGTACAATTGTGCTTTTTCTTTGAAAAATGATAACAGCTCAAGACTGATTTTTCTTAATTACTTTCAGAAAATGTGCGTGGAATGGAAATTTGCTCTCTCTCAATGAGCACTCAGAAATCTCAGTGTGTGAACATGAAGGTTTCTAGAAACACACATGTAAAATTTACTGGAAAGAAGGTAAAAGCTTGGTTTTGGCACTGTCAAACAGTTACACTTTTGAGATTTTAGGGAAAAGCTAAGATTAAATTAGTATACTGTATAGCCTGGATCCACTGGGACAGGTCACTAAAGGTCACAGGCATAGAGATATGGGCTAAGAGCCAAGACCCTTTAGCTCTGGCCCTTCAGGTTGCACCAAATGGCTTTCACCTCTGGCAATGGTGGAAGTGGTGGAAAGTGCAATCCAATCGCAGCTGACATATGATGTAGAGTTTTCAAGGCAAGAGGTGAACAGATGTAGTTTGCCATGGCCTGCCTCTACATTGGTCTCCTATCCAAGTACTAACCAGGGTTGATCCTGCTTGGCTTTCAAGAGCTAATGTGATTGGGCTAGCCTGGACCATTCTTAGAATCATAGAATGTTAGAGTCGGAAGGGACCTTGCAGGTCACCTAGTCCAACCCCCTGCACTCTGAAGTCGCATAGGCAAAAGATAGCCCTACAACATACCTGAAAGATGGTTGTCCAGCCTCCGCTTGAAAATGTCCAGCGAAGGAGCATCCACCACCTTTTAAGGCAGTCTGTACCACTGTTTAACCACTCTTACAGTTAGGAAGTTTCTCCTGATATTTAGCCGGTATCAACTCCCTTGTAATTTCCACCCATTAGATCTAGTCTTGCAATCTGGAGCAAGAGAGAATAGATCTGCTCCATCTTCTACATGACAGCCCTTCAAACACTTGAAGACTGCAATCATGTCTCCTCTAAGCCTTCTCTTTCCCAGGCTAAAGATACCCAACTCTTTCAGCCTTTCCTCATAAGACTTGGATTCCAACCCTCTCACCATCCTGGTTGCCCTCTTCTGGACACGCTCAAGCTTATCAACATCCTTCCTAAAATGAGGAGCCCAAAACTGGACACAGTACTCCAGGTGAGGCCTGACCATAGCAGAATAGAGCGGAGCTACCACCTCCCGTGATCTGGACACAATGCTTATGTTAATGCATCCTAAGATTGCATTAGCTTTCTTCACAGTCACAGCGCACTACAGGCTCATGTTTAGCTTGTAATCAATCAGAACACCTAGATCCCTTTCACATGTGTTGCTATCAAGCCAAGTCCCTCCCATTCTATATCTGTGCCTTTGATTTTTTGTACCTAAGTGTAAGACTTTGCACTTATCTCTATTGAAATTCATTTTATTTGTCTCAGCCCACTGTTCCAGCCTATCTAGATCATTTTGAATCCTGACGCTGTCTTCTTCGGAATTAGCAATTCCACCCAGCTTCGTGTAATCTGCAAATTTGATAAGCATCCCCTCTATGTCTTCCTCCAGGTCATTTATAAAAACATTGAACAACACCAGGCCCAGGACCGAGCCCTGTGGCACTCCACTCCAGACTTCCCTCCATGTAGACACAGCCATTTACGAGCACTCGTTGGGTACGATTTTTCAACCAACCATGAATCAATCTAATGGTTGCACCATCCATCCCACACTTAACCAGCTTATCCTCAAGGATATCATGAGAAACTTTGTCAAATGCTTTACTGAAATCTAGATACACTGTATCCACAGCATTGCCAGAGTCAACCATTTTAGTAACTCTGTCAAAAAAGGAGATAAGGTTGGTCTGGCATGACTTATTCTTGATAAACCCATGCTGGCTACTACCAATTAACTCATTCCAAACTTTGTCAAATGCTTTACTGAAATCTAGATACACTGTATCCACAGCATTGCCAGAGTCAACCATTTTAGTAACTCTGTCAAAAAAGGAGATAAGGTTGGTCTGGCATGACTTATTCTTGATAAACCCATGCTGGCTACTACCAATTAACTAATTCCATTCAAGGTGCTCACAGACAGTGTTTAATAATCTGCTCCAGAATTTTCCCAGGTATTGATATCAAACTGACAGGCTTGTAATTTCCTGGGTCTGTCTTTTTTTCCTTCTCGAAGATCCCCAACACTCGCTCTTCTCCAGTCTTCCGACACAACACCAGTACTCCAGAACATCTCAAAGATTAGAGCCAGAGGCTCTGAAATAACATCTGCAATTTTTTTTAGCACCCTGGGATGCAAGCCATCTGGCCCTGGAGATTTGAAAGTATTTAAGGCAGCTAGATGCTCTCTAACCATTTTCTTACTTACTCTGGACTGGCAGTTCCTCCTTCCTTCATATGCCCTGCATTCTTCATTTTGTATACAGCTCGCCTCACGGTTAAAGACCGACGCAAAGTGAGAGTTGAGTAATTCTGCTTTGTCTTCATCCCTTGTTAAGGCTTGACTGTCTTCCCCTAGTAATGAGCTTACCCCATCCCTGTTCTTCTTTTTGCTCCGAACATAGGCATAGAAACCTTTCTTCTTATTTTTAGCATCCCTC